TATCTGACTTAAATAATTAACCATATCCAGAGCGAGGGATATATGACAGAAATTAAAAAAAAAGGTGTGTTTCTTAGCACCACTGTAGTTTGAGATAAACGATCGCATGATAAATGACGGTGGAGAGTAACAGAACAAATCTAAGTCAATTAGATTTAAACTATTTCAGTTAAAAGAGTCAAAATAGTGCAAGTTCTTTTTCATTTAATTTCGTGACCATTAAAACTAAGGATTATTACAACTTAAAGTTCTTGATGATATCCAAATGTTATAGTTTTGTTTGAGTTTCTTTTTTAATGTAACTTAAATGATTAATTACATAATTTGGTAAGTTTGAAAAGTTACATCATAAAAACATCGTGAAAGATACGGAAATATGAGAGCTCTGCCCGCAAGGAACGGTGCCTTCAATCACACGAATGCGTAATAATCTTATTCTATGAGTTTCCAAGAAACGCCATCGAACTCCTGAAACTTGCTTTGGAATAATGTGCATGCGTATATGCGCTCACCTTGCAAGGTGAGCGCATTACTGGTATTAGATGCAGTTCGCGCAATGTTTCACTAGCCCATGATAATCAATTTTGAAGCGGGGAGACCTGAGAAGACTTAATTGTTGCCAGCCACATGTTCTTTAAGTGAAGGGCATTTTGCACGGGCGATCTTTAGACTCATCGAAGCGCCCATGTACAATATCTAGGAGGTGCGGTGTCATCCAGAGAGCCAATGGAACCAGATTTGCCATTGCAACCAAAACGTGTCTTTTCCATTTCTTTCTCCAAACGGCCATAACTGCTATATTCTGATAATGAGTTTCGATGGCTAAGGATACGCTGGTCATAAACCATTCAATAACCAGCGCAACTGAGGTATGAATTGCAAATTCCTGCATCAGCTTTAAAAGTGAAATATTTTGTAAGTAGATGAACTGATACAAATACAGGACGCCGTTAACAGACACAATAGCAGTCGATTCATAAAGCATGCTTAAAATTGCGATATCAGCCATAAGTCTTTCCCGCCGAGGAGTGCGAAAACTTCCCCAAGGGGCTGATTTTCTTTGTAAAATTACATGGAAAATGTGATCGATGAAAACCATAGTGCTTCTCTCTATGACTTCTGCAGCACCATGGACTATCCCAAGAATAGCAATAGACTTGATGTTATCAAGGTCTGCTTGCAACACTCGAAACATAACCGCTGTTCCAAAATACAACGGCGATAGCAAGACGAACGAATATCCTGGATGAGTTATGCACCACAACCTCTGGACACATAGTCGAGAGATCACCTTAAGAACGACTCCGATGAGAGGCGAGAAGATTGCTATGAGTAGCTTTCCTTTCCCATCTTGCTTGCCGTACATTGGGTAAATGTAAGATGCTACGAAGTTGCCGATTATGAGAGAGAAACAGCTCGGCAATATCATTTTAAAAAATAAATACCGCCTTTTTGTTAGAGTACGGAATACATTTGTTAAGAGATAA